ACGTTAACTCCGAGATGGACGCGGAGTTCTCCAACTTGGGTGGAAACTGCTCCAACCTTTTATACGGCTAGCGAGCCAATTGCTAGTCGCCACGTAGGAATAATTTAGAACCGGCCAATAGTAATGTGTGAATTTGAATATGAGTGGCGGGAACGCCGGGGTTCTCCACCGTGCTGAGAAATTCCCTCGTACAAAATCTCACCGTGCCTTGTGCTAGAAAGTTCCACTGTGCTGAGGCACTCAACCACTAAGCTCTGCCCTGACAGAGTACAGATGCCAAAACATACATGACTGCAAATCTCAAGCTCAGCTGATTGTTAATATCAAACAGCCCCTTCCCAAAATAGGGAGGGGAGGGCTTGCAGGTCAGAGTTCATCCCAGGCCTTAAGTGATCATCGCCCTAACCTACCATGCTAAACAGACTCCCGCTAAAAAAAAACAGTGAAAAGACCCTTGGAGAGGTACCATTGCTCCATGGAGAAACTGAGAAATATTCTATGAAAAACATTCTGCTAGGATGTCATGCCTTCTGAATTGCCTTCCTTTAGTTTTATTATTAATATTACTTTCCTGAGAACAGGGTTTAACTCCTGCTAATTATTTCCATTTTAACATAATCTTTTGTCAGTGATATCATAATCATTGCCACAGTGGGCATTTATGATGTTACAGCCTTGAAATGACTACTCTCACTGTAAGCAACTAAGTTTGAAAATTTTAGCTTGTAGTTTTATGATAAATCAGCACAAGAAAACATTACATAAATTTGTAGGTGGAACACTTATAAATGTAATATCAAGGGCAGTTGATCAATTTTCCATTACTTAAAGTCATTCCCTCAGTTCTGCAAAAAAAGGATAATTTAGCATGATGGCACTTCACGGTCATGAGCAATCAGCATGCCCCTCAGATTCAACTTATATGAACCTTGACTCCTTGCTAAAGGAAATCCATCCTCATTTCTCTAGTTATTGAGCAGAAAGCAATGAAGGATATACTTTAAAGAGGACTTATTAACTTTTACTTAGGGAAGGAAAGAATGCATTTAGTATCCAAACAAAATGTTTTTTATATTCATTAACTGTCCATTGGCTTTACCCACAGACTGTTGATATATTAACAGTAAGATGCAACATCTGACTTTCCAAGGATTCCATCCTGCTTTTTTGTTTAGTTTACTTCCTATTAAGACCTACCAGTCACAGTGGGCATTTATACACATACCTTTTCATTTGGCAATGAGCTGGAGATCTGCCGCTTCTGAGTAGACTTGACACATGCAGTTGTACAAGCGGCGAAATGCACATCAGTGGGCAGAACATGGCAGCAGTGCACTTTTGAACTAAAGCACCTCCGAGGTGTTTTATTCAAAAACATGCCGCCGCCATTTTCTCAGCACTGACATGCATTTTGCCACTTATACAACTGCAAATGTCACAGCGCCAGGTGCTTGTACATGTCAAAATGATTTTTCTACTAGCTGCAGACTTTTGCATTTTCTCCACAAGGGGCTGGAACATGTTACTACCACAGCAGTGCTCTCTAAACCCTGCAAGCCTCAGTGACAGAAAGCCTTGAGCAACTGAGATATGGCATTGGTTGCAACCAACAGCATTTGAAATTCCACTTGACAATGGGGGAAAATTCAATATACAAGTCTTCTATAAACCCACTCCCTTATATGTTCCCTAGCTGGCCCAGATGTAAATAAGGCTGAACTAAGAGGGAATAGGGCTAGTTAGAAGGTACTAATTTTCCATCACTGGCAGGAAGACTTGTATGAAGCCTGGGACAGAACTTAAAATTGCCTTTACTGGAACCTCAAGGAGGAGGAGGGGCACTCCAGGGTCACTGCCGCACTTCCATATGGAGGAATTCCTTTTCCAGCCCAATTGTCATGAGGCTCCCTGCGAAGGTGATATTGTCCCCATGAGCCTAAAAACTGAAACAGTCTCTCACATCAGAGTGCAGCTCACTAACCACAAAGCCAGCCTATCCACCCAACACATCAGTAGTCATGGTATAATGCAAAATATCAGCCCTTTACTTCTTGACTCCTGCTAGTTTTGAAGGAGCCCCAGTACAATGCTAAAAAAGCCAAGATATTCCCCACAAACCTGAAAAATAGTATCTGTCAAATAGAGGTGTTGCATGACTGGGTTCACTCATATAGATAAATCATAAATCATTTATCCCATGTGGCTTCTTGCAATGTATATCTGAGCTGAACTGAAATGACAACATATTGCCAGATTGCCAGTGACCTGCATATGTTCTCCAGTGAGGAATTCTGTAGTATGTGTTTCACATAATATTGCAGTGATTCCTTCGTTTCTATAAACCTTTTACTGCTTCTCAAGATCTGCACTTTGGGTCAAGGACTATCTCCTGTAGCATGGAAGGCCTCTTAAGAAAATTACAAGGCTCTTCTACAGAGATGTTTGAAAAATGTAATTCTGGCAAAAGTGCTTATCAGTGCATTTTTACCAGGTGTTTGATTTGAAAAAGTCTTTAAGCTTTGCAGAAGTATACTACATAATGATATAAAGAAAGTGTAGATGTTTTAATGGGATATTACCCAGTTCAGACTGGTTCTGCTGGCAACCTGCAGGCTGCATGCAACCCATGAGGGGTTAGGTTGCAGTTCTTGGGCTCCCTGCCTGGCCACTGCTTCCCATGTTCCCCACATGGAAGGCTAGGGCTGCAAAGTCAGCCAGAGTTTCCAGGCTCCTCCTCCTTCTTCTGGCTTTTGCTGCCTGCCTTTACCCCTGTTAACTGGGCAGTGCAGCACAGCATGATTAAGGAGGAGCTGAGGGCGAGCTTGGGGCTGTGCAGGCTGCAGTGCACTGGTGGGGGGACCAGATGGCAACACAGGGTGCAGTGGTGGGTGAGGAGTGCCTGCTCAGGAGCCCAGTGCTGGGGGCATGTGATGCAGCAACAGGGGAGAACGGATGCACAGTGCAGCAGTGGGGACTGTCTACGTGGTGTGTAGCCCATGGGGCCTGTGGCTCATTGGTATGGCCTGCAGGGTTTTCAGTCCCCAGCTGCCTAGAAATTATATAGCCCTTACCTAATTAATTCCTGGTGCTCCTAAAGTAAGCACCCCATGCAGTTAAACATGCAGTAATGCCAACAGCATCAGTAGCTAGTTTTTTTTCTTAATAGTGTAGTAAAAATGTCTCATGATCTCACTACAAAAAGGCTTCACAGCTGAGATCTGTAATCTCACTACACAAAAGGCTTCACAGCTAAAAACTGTAATTGTTTCTTCTCCTCTCTCCCCCACAACTGTGGGGCCAGGAGCTGGGGGTCCTGTTAGGGGGAGAGAACAGTCCGAACAAATGCTCTGTTCGCGATAAGGCTGATTCCCGTGGGAACACAAAGATTAGTTACTGCTTGCTTTGCACATAAACTTTGCAACCCTTGTTACTTGCCCGTTTTAGAACTACGCATGTACTAAAACTTTACAGGAAACTGTAGCCAATCACAGATCGCCACAATGGAATCTTGTTCATGAGGGGTATAAAAATGTAACTTCGGGCGTGGCTAGGGGTTGACTCTGCTTTGGGCGACCCAGCCCCTTTGTCAATCTGTTTGTGCAAACAATAAACTCGAGATGGATCCAACCTGAGTGTGACTCTCTCCTTGAGGTGTATTGGAAAAGCCTCCAGGGGCAAGAAACTAGCCGTTTGTGCAACAATAGTGACAGTCAGATGTAATGTCACTTACAGATAGCTGCCCTGTAAAGAACTCCAAATGGAATCCAGAGAAAAGCTTTTCCCCTGGTGAGAGAAACTGGAGACCATGATGATTCATTCAAGCTAACAGTTCTGAATATCACACTTCTGCCTGTAGTCAACAGACCTAATTAAAACCTTGTTTCCAGATTTTAAGAAGTGTCGATGGTAGTTTGCTCCTCCGGTAAATGAAGTGGCCAGGATGAGCACAATTTGAGAGACAAACCTGTTCCTATGCCTTTCACAAGCAGGAAGAGGCATGGGAACAGGTGGAACTAGCTGTTCGCATGCCTGTTCTCTGGGACTAGGTATTGCTTCAATATTGAGGTTCAATAGGTAGCAACAGGTGCCAGAATTGGGACATGGGATAGGGACAACCCTCCATGCATACAACAGCCTTAACAGCTGCTCTTTTAATTTAGTAGCATGCATTCCTTCTTATTCCAACTTGTCATTTTACAAGTGGGAATAGAATTGTTACCCCATCTCTCCCTGGCCTTTAAGGTGTTCCTAGCATCCTTGGTAGTGTGAGAGTCCTCTAGTCCTTGTGAATGGGAAACGGTGGGGAGGGAGTCCTCAGTTCTGCTGCAAGGTGATGGGCTAGATATCTGTCTCCTTTTTGCTTATGTATTTCTGGGTATCTAAAGCAAAAACTTTTAAAAAAAATCTATGAATCTAGACACTCCAGTATAACAGTCATAATTGTTTTTTAAGGATCAGAATGTTGAATTAAGACCCCAAGGACCAAATGCACAATTTGTGAGCTAGAAAGGCTGGCACTGCTAGTTGGTGGTGGTGCACATCTGATTCATCTCAGGTGGTCACATAGCCCAATCTCCTGCTCCCATACCTTTTGGGAGAAAGGGCTATTTTAAGATGCTGTGGTGCCAAATATCCCTTCCTTTCAAAAGGAAGAGGTATGATTCTTAGACACATCAGTTAGGATGATCTTACTCCATTCCATACTGAAGAAGATGGTTTGATCCTGTACAGTACACTTCGGAGCCTTATAGCAATGTTTCTTTTCCCTTCTTCAGTTCAAAGTATAGCTGGGCGGCCCCAACATAAAATACTCCTGATATGGTCAACCCAATCAGAACTAGCAAGGTGTCCTAATACTTCAACACTGTTCCTTGCTTTCCTTATCAGTGGAAGTTATTCCATTAGAGTCAACCCTGCAATCAAATGATAAGCACTTGAATGCAATAAGTGTCTATTCAAGCTGTGGTGACAGTCATGATAATAAGTAATTATGGACTTACTTGTTAGTGTTAACCAGGTCTGCAGGGTTTTCTGTTGACATTGTTGCCTGAAGAAAAATCTTATCTAAAGCAAAGATCAAAAAAGTGTTTATTTGTAGTTTCCATGTATACAACTCAAATCACTTTACAGTATTGCCTGGAGTGTGCCAATGATCCAAAGCCAGAGATTCGTGGCTAGAGGACCTTGCCCCTCTGCTCAGGGTCAAAGCGATCACCATATTTGGGGGCAGGAAGGAATTTTACTCCAGACTGGTAGGTTTAACGAATCCCAGCATACTGCTTTCACCATACTTTGATCAGATTGGTGTGAACTGTGGGGATTTTTGCCTTCTTCTGTAGAGGGGGACGTGGTCCTCTACCTTGATATCTTGAGTATATTTAATAGATTTCATAGATATTTGGGCTGGAAGGGACCCCAGAGGATCATCGAGTCCAGCCCCCTGCCCCAGGGGCAGGAAGTCAGCAGGGATCATAGGATCCCAGCAAGATAAGCATCCAAATGTGTCTTGAAGGTGTTCAAAGTGGGTGCTTGAACCACCTCTGGTGGCAGTCTACTCCAAACCTTGGGGGCTCGGAAAGTGAAGAAGTTCTTTCTTATGTCCAGCCTGAATCAGTCATGGCAGAGTTTGTGACCATTCGATCTTGTCATCCCTTGGGGCACTCTGGTGAACAGATGTTCCCCCAGATCCTGATGAGCAACCATGATAAACTTATAGGTTGCCACCAGATCACCCCTGCACCCGCTTTTCCAGGCTGAAGAGCCCCATAGCTCTCAGCTTGTCGTCATAAGGTCTATTTTCCTGACCTCTGATCATGCGTGTGGCTCTTCTCTGCACCCTCTCAAGCTTCTCCACATCCTTTTTGAATTGTGGAGCCCAAAACTGGATGCAGTACTCCAGCTGCGGCCTCACCAAGGCCGAGTACAACGGGAGAATGAATATCCTGGGATTTGCTAGAGAAGCATCTATGGATGCAAGCCAGTGTTTTGCTCGCTTTACTAGCCACAGCATCGCACTGAAGGCTCGTGTTCATCTTGTGGTCAACCATGACCCCCAAGTCCCTTTCATCTGTAGTGCTAACCAGCGTAGCACTGCCAAGCCTATAAGCATGCTGCAGGTT